TTTGTTGTTGTTGTTGTTGTTGTTGTTGTTGTTGTTGTTGTTGTTGTTGTTGTTGTTGTTGTTGTTGTTGTTGTTGTTTTGCTTGTGCGTGGCTGCGTTTCAAACATTTACGGCAGCGCTCACCCGCGCATATGTGCTGGAGGCGTCGAACAGCTTGACAAAATCCGTGGCGGCAAGTTGCAAGTCAATGTCTGCACCGCACGCATATGCGAAAACCACGACAGATCGAAAGGGGATGAGCAGCAAGCACACACATATTTATACACACACAAACACACACATACACAAACGTGTACACATACACAAACGTGTACACATACACAAACGTGTACACATCCACACATACACACATCCACACATACACGCATACACTCTCAGACAAACCAGAGCGACGTACTGTTTGACGTGAGGAGGTCGTGCATGAGTGCCAGGAGATCAGCAATCACGGCCTGATGACAGCACCCCAAGATGAGAGCATGCAGTGGCACAGTAAAGACAGCAATGACAACGCAAGCACGTATACACACATGTACGACAGCCACATGGTTGATTTTACCTCCATGTGGGCTTTGTCCGTGCTCGCTTCCTCATCCACGCACACCGGATCCAGGTTGTGGCTGGAGACAGAAAACGACACACAGTAGTGAGAGCACACACACACACACACACACACACACATACACACACACACACACACACACACATACACACACACACGCATGCACGCACGTGCACACACACTCAGACAACACACACACACACACACACATACTCACAACTCAAAGCAGACACACCACCACCCCCAACCTTGCGCGTTCCTCTTGTCGTCGCCCCATGTCCTCCTGCTTGCGCTGTCGTGCGCGTTGTGCCTCCACCACCGCGGGCCCAAACACATGCGAAATCGCGCGCACCGCACATGCCAGCCGATGCGTGCTGTTTGGCAGCTGCATCATCACCTGCGTGCACTCCAGCACGGCTGGCAGTCGCGCCAGTGATAGGGGCGATGCCGTGCGGTCTGCAGCTGTGGTGATGAGCGCCGTCAGCGCAGTGAGGTGCGATGGTGGCGCCGTCTTTGTCTCGCACAGCACCATCAGGGCGCGGTCAAGCACGCTGCTGGTGGCTGTTTCCAGGCGGGTGAAGATGGGAAGCGATATGGAGGGGAAGGCGTCCAATTGCAGCTGCAACGCCGTGTCCATGAGGCCTCCGCCACCGATCGCTGCCACAGCACGATCAGCGGCAGCATCGTCATCCGGCGGGCACAGCAGCAGCGCAGACACAATCTGGAGCAACGGATTGTGGGAGTTAGAGAAGGTGGGTGCATGTGAGTGAGGCAATATGCGAGTGCTCAAGCGCGCGCGCGCGCGTGTGTGTGTGTGTGTGTGTGTGTGTGTGTGTGTGTGTGTGTGTGTGTGTGTGTGTGTGTGTGTGTGTGTGTGTGTGTGTGTGTGAGCGAGTAGGAAGCAGGAGCGGTAAGAGAAAACGCGGTTGCATTGATGGTGAATTTACATGGTCTCGCCGCCATCACGATTGCTGCGTCCCTCCATCGGATGGCTTACCTTTTGTTTTGATGCGTCTGACGTAGTTTTCATCGCCTCTGCCACTGCCGCTGTTTCGACGACAGCAGCAAGCGCAGCGTGCATGTGGGGCCTGTACCTGCCCACTTTGAGGTACGCCTGGGCCATGTGCTCGCAGGCAAGTGCGCGGTCTGCGATGTCAAGAAGTGCAATGAGCGCCGCCGCCACGTCTGGGCTCACCAGGCCCAGCTGGTCTCCAACCTCCCGCACCTGCCATGGAGATTGATTGGGAGGGGTGTCACGCGTGAGATCGTCACGCGTGAGATCGTCGTGCACAAAACACACACACAGACAAGGGTAAACAAACGAGCTTTTCACTTGTGCTTTTTTCCTCCTTGCTTGGCGCAACGCGCCCACACACACACACACACACACACACACACACACACACACACACACACACACACACACACACACACACTCACTCACCCAGCAGGAAACCACCCACAACCAACTGACTGCTCACCTTGATGGTGTGCAGTCCTTCCGGTGGCCGTGCCACCTTCCTCGCCATCGCCTTCAACCGCCGTGACATGGTGCAGTGGGGATCTTCCTTCTTCTTAGCTTGCTTGCCTGTTTTTGCTTTGCTTCTTGCTTTGTTTGCTTCAAAATGTACGAGACTGAATTCAGTTTCTTGAAGCCGCTGCCACAACAAAAGCAGAGAACGACTATGATGATGAGGGGCCTGCACAAGAAGCGCCACTATGATCACCAGCCGCAACAGGCTTGGCCCATGATGCGGTGCGATGAAGACGACATCGCAGACCACCCTTGCAAACAAGCGGTACGGTTTTGCTCACGTGTGTGTGTCTGTGTGCGTGAGTGTGTGTGTCTCTCTCTCTCTCTGTGTCTGTGTGTGTGTCTGTCTGTGTTGCCATGTGTGTGCGTGTGCTTGTTTGTTGCTATGTGTGTGTTTGACTTGAGGA